TTTTAAGCTGTTTTTCGTTGGTATCGAACTCTTTTGTTTTCAAATGATCTACGCAGTAGATTCCTCGAACTCTTTTGTTTTCAAATGATCTACGCAGTAGATTCCTCTTTCATTGGTTATCATCTCTCGGTATATCTCTTTTTTGTGTCCAGCAAAAATCTGCCATCATGTTGACGCTCCAATTTCTTTGATATCTGGTCTCCATTTCACTTATGTCTTGATGAAATCGTTCTCCCTGTTCTTCGCTGTAGTCTCCGAGATTATCAGGAAACTGGTCGATATGAGAATTCAGGAACTGTAGCTTAACATTCATTAAGCAACCTAAATTTTTGTAATTTGTCATCAATTTTTCTACTAACGTTCTGTAGTTTTCGTTTTTTTTTATTTCCCAAAAAGTTTTGGGACACATTTTTAAAACATACTCAAGCTGCTCTCTCCGTGTCGTTCATTTTCCCAAAAAAATTTGCATCCTGAAATAGAGTTCGAATTTCTCTCTTTTAATTTTGCATCACTTATTGCAGGAAACTTTTCTCTCAAGTACTGGAAGCAAGTGACATCTTTGTCCAGAGCTTTAACAAACTGCTTTATGAGACCTAGCTTGATGTGAAGTGGAGGTAGCATCTATTTTGAAGGCTGAATCAATGGTGTTCGTATAACGTTATGAGTACCTGGTTTGAATTTCTCTCTCTTTGGCCATTCTTTCTTTACATAGTGATTTTTTCTGTCCCTGCTATCCCACAAACATAGATAGCAGGGATATTTTGTGAATCCCGATTGTTGACCTAAAAGAAGTGTAGCGATTTTCAGATCCCCACAAATTCGTGTTGCGGTTTTCAGATTCCTACAAATTCACCATTGATGCTCTGAATACTTTATTTTATTCAATACTCTTTGCGCGTTATCGTAGGTCGATTGGAATCGGCGCTAATTCGATCCCTGTATAAAGCACAACAGCTTTCAGACTTCTAGATGATGAATCCATAGAGAGTCTCCACTCGTCATCTTTATTGACATTAGGTTTTAATTCATCAATAAAGCCTTTAACATTAGAAAAGTACACCATCGAGTTTTCATCGTCTTTTGTAAAAAAAATTCCGGAACTCCTTCTCTCTGGTTGGATAAAAGGAAGACGATAATCCTTCAGCTAACAAATTTTTATTTTTCAGTCTTGGTGCTAGTAATTCAGCCCCATCTTTAGGTAACCCTAAGTCTCGTACAAGATCATTGAGTTCTGCTTGGTTAAATGTTTCAGGGTCTTTTGTTTTCTTATGTGGCATGTAATCTTCATCCTTAAAATTTTCATCTTCAGAATTTTCATATTCAGAGATTTCTTCTTGCACTCCTGCATCTCTTCGGGAGCCTCGATTTCATTTATTACTACAGTTTTCTGTCGTTTAACAGCTGATGAAACATTGGCGTAGTGTATTTTACTTTTATTAGTCGAAGAAAAACCAGCAACTTCAAACATACAAAAGTAACAGTTTTGTGAACTTGTTGGTGAAGTCCAGATCATGGGGACTGTAAATTTCAAGTTTTCTCTTTTTTGGACTTTTCCCATTGTGTCAACGTGAGATTACATCGACCACAAGCAAAGTGTGGGACCCAGGTGGGATCCAAATTCGTAATTTATATACGAAAGCATTCCTCAACGGTTTACGGTCAAACGTAAGAAAATAAATCAGCACTTTTATCACATAAATGAGAATTACTTCTTGTAATAGTACACTCTCCAGTAGCCAAGTCTCCCACTACCGAAAAGCTGCAGTCGCTTGATGACGACGCCTGCGGGCCTGCTTTCTCACCCTGACCAGACGCCGATACTGGGTTTCCGGATCCCTGCATCGTAAAGTACTTATCACTTGTATCTGCCATGACGGCATACAAGCCGTTAACCCAGGGACTCAGCCAGATGGTTCTTTTTCCCACCGTCACAACGTGGAGGTGCCCTGGTTGCAGGTACAAGCGACCAAAAAAAAAAAATAAACTGCGTCGATCATTTGAGAACAAAGGAGTTTGATACCAACAAAAAACAGTTTAAAATCAGGAAAAATCGTTCCATTTATTCGGTTTATACATAATTTTTTAGACATATTGCAACTTTTTGCTATTTTTGACATTTTTCAAGGTTTTTTTTACAATTTGTTAAGATTTAGAACGGTTTATGGTTTAATGCACTTCAGATTTGTATTCAGCGGATCAAAATAGATAAGAATTATGCTTGGTTTGGATTCATAAATTTTTTGTATTACCATTTATCCCATTTTAGCTATTTTTACAATTTCCTCGACATTGAAGGGTGTACGACCCAAACTTACTTAAAATTCGGATTCAGCTGGTCAAAATACATGCCGGTAGGTAGGTGGTGTCGGATGTACAAACAACTTTTTATACCCGAGCGCACTTGTGCACAAGGGTATTATAACTTTGTTCAAATAACGGTTGTTTGTAACAGGCAAAACGAATCGAGATAGATAAAGACAAATGTATACATAAATGATCAGAATTAAAAGAGAAATCGATTAAGCGGTGACTGTCTGTCCGTCCGTCCGTCCGTCCGTCCGTCTGTGCACACGATAACTCGAGTAAAAATTGAGATATCTTAACGAAACTTGGTACGTGAACTTCTTTTGGGCGTGGGACGGATGGTATTGAAAATGGGCGAAATCGGATAATAACCACGCCTACCTCCCATATAACGGTAATTTTAAGAAATACGAAAACTGCGATATTTTAGTAACTACTGAAGATAATTCACTCAAAATTGATACTTACGATGAGTTTCAGACGGAAAACATGAATATTATAAATTTTTGTAAAATGGGCGTAGCCACGCCCACTTATGGTTACATGTGTATATCTTGGTAACCGCTGCACCAATTTCTTCCAAACTTCTTCAAAATCGGACAATAACCACGCCTACCTCCCATATAACGGTAATTTTCAGAAAAACGAAAACTGTGATATTTTAGTAACTACTGAAGATAATTCACTCAAAATTGATATTTGCAATGAGTTTTAGACGAAAAATAAGAATATTACAAAATTTTGGCAAATGGGCGTAGCCACGCCCACTTATGGTTACATGTGTATATCTTGGTAACTTCCAAACTTGGCACAGTTGTTGGTCCTGGTACAGCATACCAACTGGCCGAAAATTTCTAAAATCGGACAATAACCACGCCCACATCCCATATAACGGTAATTTCGAGAAATACAAAATCTTCGATAAATCAGTAAATATTGAAGCTAATTTATTCAAAATTGATGATTGCAACAATTATTTACCAAGAAATACGTTTATGATAAAATTTTTGAAAATGGGCGTAGCACCGCCCACTTATCATCACATATATGTATCTCGCTAACCGTTCTAGCAATTTGTACCAAGCTCGGTATGGTTATTGTGCTTGCCACATAAAAGCAAACCGTTGAAAATTGTTGAAATCGGACTAAAATTGAGGCCGCTTTTCATATAACGGTAAATTTCAGATATGCTTGAAATTTCAATATTTCGAAATTTAAGGACGCTAATGTACTTAAAATGTATAGACCCCGGCTTATCATGTAGCGGTAGCTTTCGGAAAGGTGGAAAACATATACTTAATACTTGCGACGGGTATTTAATGTTCGGCTCCGCCCAAACTTAGACTTTCTTACTTGTTATTGTGTGTCGGTGTTATTTATGGCTTTTATGAAATTCCTTAATTTGCAAAAACACAAAAAAGTATGACTACATGTTGTCTGGCAGATATGCCTTCAGCTATTACTGAAAGCCTGAAAAGTGCGGAACGCCTGGGAAGCTTGTTGTGGAGTTGTACTCTTAGGTTTATTTTCTTTTTGATGGTAATCTCATTAGGGGTGATAAAGGGATAAATTGCTTAAATTTATCAGTTTATCTGCATTGTTTCATGAACGCACCTTGGTAAATAATTGCACAATATTGTTTATTATTTAACTTATCTGGCTAGTTATTTACGTTCCATTCTTACCTCGTCCATTGTGATAATTTGCTTTTAATGTTTTCGTAGCAAAATCGACCACCTGGGGTCTAAGAGGGTTGAATTTTGCCGAAATTTATTCGTTTATCCACCAAAAACGTCGGATAAAGTGATAAACTTTGGTTAAATAGATTTCCATAGAAATTTTGACATTTTATCAAGTTTATCAACAGTTTATCACTTTTGAGGAAGATCCCTTTTGTCTTTTCATAAAGAAAATGTTGGCATTTTTAGCTTTATTTTCTTTCCTGATAGTCATGTTTTCAGTTTTCACCTTCATATAAACTGTGATTTAGTTATTAGCAATTTATTTTTATTTGCAAATAGCTAACGTATGAACATTGAAATGGAAACAAATTTTGACAGCTGCTGTTGCTGCACAGCGCCACTTGCGGCAGGACAAAGTACTTTAGGCTAGGCAATTTTAAGCGACAGGGAGGAAAGATTCGCAATTTTTGGAGATCACCAAAAATTCGGATGCAATTTTAGCTTTAGCATTTTAGCATATTTTAGCGAAATCGAAGTTTTGGAGTTCGGCTGCAGAACTATTAGTCTAAGTACCTAGGCTTACTAAAAAGCTTTACTATTTTTAGAAACTAATATTTACCGTTGAAATATTACAATAACAGTGCTTTTTTTTGCTTTTTAAAATAATATACTAAGAATTTTGCCTTAAACCTTATTTTTACAATTTGATTTGTTGGCGTACTACTTCTCTATCCTGATGTAGAAAATATTGAAATATTTTGCATTTTTTCTTATCCTAAACTGAACTTCTTTTTACATATCGTCGCTTGGGTAAAATAATATCGTAAGCGTCATACATACGTGCGACGATATATTGAAGTATGTATGTTTTTAAGGAATGAATATACTGACTTCTTTTTGACTTAAAATTTCATAGCATACAATATTTTCTAACTTTTTTTAAAAACGGATTATCTTCGCTTTTTGCGATCATCTGGTCACACTGCTTATTTAATAACTAATTGAACGCATTCGTTTAGATAATTATAATAATACAATTTTATATTTTTATTTCAAATCACTCAATACTTAATTAAAATAATTGTAGTGCACCCCACTAGCATTTGGGATGCCGCTTCCCAATTCGGCAGGCACATACGTAGAATCCGGTGTACATTTGACGCACTTACGGTTTAGAGATGGACGCTGTTTTGATGTATGGCAATGCATGGCATACCTCAGTTCTTCCGCCATTTCAGAACACAAAGATTGGTTTTCAGCGAGCTGCATTGTCTTCTTGGAATTCCAACAAAATTCTAAAATGGCAACGACAACTGCCAAAGCTAGACCGCAAAGCAATACGACGAAAACGCCACCTTTTAAAAATACATGAATTAGAGTCTAAATTGAGAAAAAGATGGTTTGATATTTACCTATGTTTTCCACGCCCAATGCATTTGCTTTAGATTCTTTACTTTTCTCGTCCCGATTGCAAACATCACCCGTATTTTTCCACCATTTATCATATAATATCTGTATGATTCCCTTTTCTTGAAGTTCCAAGATTGCGAGAGACAAAGGATCACGCCAAGGCGACCCTTTTGGAGTGGCGATGCCGTAACCTTTAGAATCCAGAAGTCCACCGATTTGTGTTAAGTTACAGTCACGTTGCACTGCATAATCAAGCATTGTAGATTCCATAAGGAAAGCGTAATTTCCTTCTATAACACGTTTTATACCATTTTCGTAAGTCTTAACAAAAACTGTTCCTCTTCGATTTTCCATATACTGCCACATTTTTTGATAAATACTTATTTTAGAATCCTGCAAAAGAGGTACAAATTGTAAAATCCTTTATTAAACAAATTCAAAATTAGTCATTATTATAGTATGCATATAATAACGGTTATATTTTCTTCACCGTATCACAGTAACCTTAAAATTTATTAGTGAATGTGAACTTCATGAAATTGGAGCTAATGGCTCTGCAAACGAGTTGGTGATTTCCGTAAATATTAATAGTAGAAGCTCAAATTTATTGAGTTCTGTTGCGACACCCTTCAAAAGAAAACCAAATTATTAACTGTTTTATACAATTTTCGGACTATCTTTTATGTAGTACCCAAATTTAGGATGTTCGATTATTGCCCTTATCTCCCTCGTTCCAGTGCTGGAAAAAGTAAAATTGCGGATAAATTAAGTTACTTTAAACAAGACGTAAAATGATGTTGAGCAATATCACCAGCTCCATCAAGAATTGGCAAGGACATCAAGAATGGGTCTGGTGGTAAACGAGATCATCAAACAAACAGTTAGTCCTTCGAGCATTCGCACCTACGTCACTGTTGACAGTTATAATTTCGCGAAAGCTGAGAATTTCGTTTACTTTGGAACCAGCAATAACCCAGATAATTATGTCAGCATCGAAATCCAACGCAGAATCACCCTTGTCAACAAGTGATTCTCTGGACTGAGTAGTCAATTCAGAAAAAAAAAGTCCCCTCATGATGTACGAAAACCACTCTCTATAAGTCACTCATCATGCCCGTGCTACATCATGGCGCAGACGCATGTCTAATGACAAAATCCGATGAGAAGTATCCTGTAATATTCGACTCTACGCTTTGTGAGTACTGCAGATGATGGAACTATGAGCTGTATGAGCTTTACAATGACATGGACAAAGTGCAGCGCATAAAATCAAAATACAGCGGCTTCGCTTCATTCAAATAGACACCGACGCTTCAGTTCTGAAAGTATTCAACTGGGAACCCGCTGGTGGTACCAGAGGAAGAGCGAGGTCCCCACTGCGATGGAAAGACCAGGTGAAGAGGGACTTGTAATCACTTGGCATTTCCAATTGGCGTCAGTTGGCACAGAAGAAAAACGACTTAGAGTAAGAACATAGTGGAGCGGCGAGCAAAGCGTCGATTTCAAACGCGTACGTTTCAATGGGAAAGCGCATAGTGGAGAGCAAAGCGTACATACACGTTTGTAATTGAAGCGTTGCTCGATGCTAGCTCTTCGCTTTGCTCGCCGCTCCACTATGTTTTGACCCTTAGGCGGTTACAGCGCTGAATAAAAAGATAAGTAGTTTTGTTAAAATTGTTTTTTGTTCATTTTCATCTTCAGTCATAGTCCCTTCCAGGGTTGTTGCGAATATTATTCCAAAATAAGTCATTTCTGGATAATAAACAAACGGCCTGTCCAAATTAAACAGATTTGGTATCATATGAAAGAGGACTGAAATAGCTTTAAAACTGAAATGTCTAAACGAGGAAAGCCACATATTGAAAAATATTTCAACAAAAAATGTTAATTAATTACCATATAACAAACCTTTTGTCAGGTTTTGCATTATAACCAGTAATAATCCCTGAAAATCGGGGTGCTAAGTGGTCTAAAAAATCTGCATATTTCTTTATTCTAAAAACCACATGCATTGCTTTGGTAGTTAACTTCAACTTGGTATTTGGGCAAGATCGTACTCTACTCAATACGCCATGCGGTAAGCTAGGCTAGTCTTGCTAGGGTCTGACCTTGAGACTTATTTATTTTTATTGCCAACGCTACAATAATTTTCAATTGGCGACGTGTAAATACAAAAGCATGTGTTGATTCGCTGGGCTGTTAATTTATATGGGATGGTATGATTCGAATCACATGTTTAAAGTAAATTAACTAACCCTTTATATGTACATATTTGTACTGCGGTATCCAAACAATTACATTGTAATCCTTTAACTATTAGGCGAGCCCATTAACTAACCCTTCATATGTACATATTTAGGTTGTGGATTAGCATCACAGCTGCTCTAACTTTTAGTATCAAGTTATGAGGTGACTCCCCTACTTCTACTTGCTCCTGTGGATATTCAGAAGCGACAGTAGATATCGACGCCATTTCTACTCCGGACACATATTAACCATTTCTTTATTAACTATCGTACAGTGCTTATTTTGTGGACGAGAAATTGATCGATCCTGTAATTGGTTTTGATTAATTACACCAGGCTGAGGTTCAAATACCCAATCGGCTAAACCTCGCAAAATAATCTCTTGTGGCACTAATCTTAATTTTTGAGTCTGAAGAGAGTTCTCGCCCTTCTGTAACCCGCAAGAGAAAACTGAAATAACCAGTGTAGGGTACATACATATACTCCCCCTCCAATAAAACAATAAATTAATTAATCTTAAATGTTATTTTCCTTTTTTTATTTGGAATTGTTAGTGAATTAGATTTTTTTGTTGTATCAGAAATTATATTTGCAGGTTTGAGTAAATCTATTGAAACCATTTTAGTCATATTTCCATGTTGAATTTTGAACACTTTGTCATTTTTCGAAATAATTTTAAATGGTCCTTCATAAGGTGATTGCAAATTTTACTTGTTAATAATAATTAGAAAGAGTTTCATCTGTATTATCAACTTCGTTATTATAACTGTTCGTAACAACTAATTCACCTGGTAATCTTCATGTTTGTCTATAAACTAATTCTGCAGAAGAGCATTTTAAATCTTCTTTAACAGACGTACGTAATCGTAATAATATCCGAGGAAGAATTTCAGACCAGTGATTAGAATCCTCCGAAGGAGTAATAGCAGTCTTTAATGTCCTATGAAATCTTTCAATCATTCCATTTGATTGGGGATGATATGGAGACGTATGAATGTGATCCTAACAATTTAGTTAATTCTGTGAACAATTTTGATGTAAACTGTGATATATATGTGTATATAAAGTGGAATACCAAAACGAGGAACGTGATTTTGAACAAATGTTGTTGCTATAGAATTAGCTGAAATATCCCTAAGTGCATATGACTCTGGCCAACGTGTATGTCTATCAATGATAGCTAAAATGTAACGATTGTTAATTTTTTGCACAGGCGTCTTAGTATGTTCAGAAATTTTTGATTTTTGACAACTTATACGAGTAGAAGTCCAATTATTTATCTCTTTGTGCATATTAAGCCAAAAATATTTTGATTGAATCAAACGCCTAGTTGTACGGACACTTGGATGTGATAAAGAATGAATTTTATCAAAAATAATTTTTCTCATAGAATTGGGAACAAATGGTCTAAAAGGTTGTTGAGAAATATCAGACCAAATATTAAGATTAAGTACTGGAATATTAGTTTCTTTTAAATTACTCTTGGAATTTTGGTCAGATATTATGTTATAAAGTGTTTGATCTTTTTGTTGTTCTTCGAATAATGTTTGAAAATTTATGTCTTGGGCTAAAATCATGTTAACATCTGAAATACGTGAAAGGGTATCAGCAACTATGTTTTCTTTTCCAGAAATGTATTGAATGTCGTCTGTAAATTGTGCAATGTACTCTAAGTGTCGAATTTGTCGAGGTGATTTGTCTGATTTAGAATTTAGAATATGTGTTAAAGGTTTATGATCAGTATAAAGAGTGAATGTTCTACCTTCTAGAAAATGTTTAAAATGTTTAATTGAATTGTATATTGCTAAAAGTTCTCTATCAAATATAGAGTAATTAATTTCTGTAGAAGATAATTTTCGTGAAAAATATGCAAGTGGTTCTAAACTGTTGTTCCCCATTTGTTGTAAAACCGCACCGACTGCTACATTCGATGCATCGGCAGCAAGTGATAATTTACCATTTTTATCAAAATGAGTGAGTAAAGTCTTCTGTGTAAAAAGTTTCTTCACATTTTCAAAAGCCCTAGTTGTATTTTCTGTGAAATTTAATTGTTTAAGTTTATTTTTAGTTGCCAATGTTAACATTTCGTACAGAGGACTAAGTTTTGCTGCTAACATTTTAACATATCTATGGTAATAATTAGCCATGCCCAAAAATTTTTGTAATTTATTTATTGAAAGTGGTTTTTCAAAATTTACTATTGCTTCAACTCGTTCGACACAAGGTCTTATTCCTTCACTTGAAATTTCATAACTTAGAAAATCTAATTTATTTGCTCCAAAAATGCATTTACTAGGTTTAATATTCAAACTATCTTTTTCAAGTCTTTCAAATACAGATTTTAAATGCTCAATATGTTGATCTTCATTATCACTTGCAACAAGAATATCGTCAATATAGACAAACAAAAATTCTAACCCTGAAAATACTTCATTAATAAAACGTTGAAATGTTTGTGCACTATTTCGTAGTACGAACTCAAACATTCCAAACGGTGTAGTAATTGCTGTTTTATGTATATCTTCTTCAGCCATCGGTATTTGATGATACGCACGAACAAGATCAATTTTGGAAAACAATTTTTTATTTTTTAAATCAATAGTCAAATCATGAATGTGAGGTAACGGATAAAGATCTGGAATAGTAATACAAGTAAGTCTTCTGTAATCTCCACAAGGTCTCCAATCATTTGGTTCTTTTTTGGGAACCAAATGTAAAGGAGATGCAATGTGAGAGCGTGAAGGCCTACATATACCCGTTTTAACTAAAATTTCAAATTCTGTTTTTGCTATATTAAATTTAATTGGATCAAGCCTACGAGGTTTAGAGAAAGGTAGCACTCCTTTTGTTTCAATTCTGTGAACCGTTTGGCGTTGCACTGGTTTAGTGTAATCTGGTTCACAAGTAATTGAAAGAAAATCATTTAAAAAGTTTAGAAAATTTATTTTCAGTAATTGGTATCCTTATTGAAAATATATCCCAAAAACCAGATGATCCAGAAACTTTCAATTTTTTGTTGAATCAGTAATTTCTCTAAAATTCAGCGGCTCCGCTGGCTTGGCCATGTCGTTCGGATGGACAGAAACGCTCCTGCTCTGAAAATATTCAACGCGGGCCGCGATGCTTGTAACAGAGGAAGAGGAAGGC